TCATGATAATTTTAATTGATTTTAATTGTATGACGTATGATAAAAATTAATTGAAATTGATTTTTCGGTAGGCCTGAATCTAGATGGGCAGGGCCGATAAAGATCACGCGTACATATGAATTAATGATTATGCCACTTATACTATAATTCACCCAGCCATACTGCATAAGATCCGAAATTTGATCCGAGTATGTTAACAAAGAAAATGACATGTAGTAAATGGTTAGTTTCATTATCACGTGTTTACACTTGTAGTTAACAAAGAAAATATATTGTGTATAAATGAATACTGCAAAGAGAAAAGAAGTTTCAGGCTTTCAAATTTATTATTTATTATTTACCAGATACAGGCTTGAAAACCTGATCAACGGTATATATGATAACGATAATAATTAAAATTTTAATTACGTATTAATTCTGGTAAATAATATAGTAAACTAGGAAAACAGATACAGCAAAAAATACAATTTTCTACGAAATTGCCTTACCGGACTGATCCGTGTCAATTTTCTTAGCTTGATTGACTAATTATATGATGACATCACTGGAATCCAATGGTCAATTGTCGCTACGCTTCGGAAAATAATAATAAATGATAGATTTAAAAGTCTGAAATACAATTTCTCTGTAGCAGCACCAATTCAGTGGATTTGTGAAATTTGATCTTTGTTTAAATAACCCCAAATATATATTTATATATTTATAAATTGGACCTTTTATAGATATCCAGATTCATAGATATGTTATTATCAATATCAATACAAGATTATAGTAAATAATCAATGATAAATTTAAAAGTTTGAAATACATTTTCTCTTTAGCAACACCCAATTCGGTGGATTTGAATAACCCAAATATATATTTATAAATTGCACCTTTTTAACATATCCAGATTCATAAATACAAAATTGTAACAATTGGGCCCGAGTCTATTAAACAACATGGATCTGGGGCATTTAGATAAAGATTCACCGAATCGCTCCAATATAAAATGAAAATATTATAGTAGTAGAAAAATCGTGATGTATTTATATCGCGTTTTTTGTGTTGTACATGATTTATGAGTCTGCTATGATAAGGGGTCAGTCAGAATAAAGAATAAAGCTTTTTCATAAACTCAGGTTACATAATTTACGGCAGCTACCGAAGTAAATTCGGTAATCACCATACAATAATGATAACTCATGTAATAATTTTCAATTGAAATCAAGATAATTAGAAATAATTAGATGAATTTTTTTCTTTTTGAATAAAAGATGAAACACCTAAAATACACCTAAAATATAGTAGACCATTGAATAATTCCTTTAGGAGAATAAGGCAAATTTTGTTTTTATTTGTTTTTCAGTTGCTGAGAATATTATAATTTTACACACGAGAAGAATTTAGATATTTCGAAATAACAGTGTAACAAATGTTTATTAACAACAAAGGATCTGACTATTGCTTACGAAAATATATGTATGACATGTTTGATTTTTATTTTTATCATGAATATCAATTGATGATTAATCTACTGCGTTAAAGTTAATAATACGCAATATTAACAAATATCGTACATACATACGTACAAATAAATTGGATTTTATTAGTCCTCCGGAGTTTTAATTGCGTACAGTACACAAATTTTATTTACAGGAATAAAATGCTGTGTAACATAAGTGTGAAATTTCACCGTGACAACTTCAAACGATAAATTTTTACTTTCATAGACTTTAAAATGAGTAAAGATTCACATCTTTGAAACATATTTAACGTCTTGTTTTTCAGCATTGGATGTTACTATATTTAATTATTAATAATAAATTTGGAAATCATGACTTCAATGTTCAACATTTTCAAACGCTGTATTAGGATCAAAAATATTAAAATTAATTAGAATTAATTGCTTTTTAATAATGACATCAAATTCGTAATATCATATGCCAAATATTTGGCACGTATATCTGAGTAAGCATATAATTCTGAAATTTAAGCACTAAGTAAGCACCAATACTTTAAAAGATTTTTTGCATGTTTAGTAAAGGTCACGCCATCATAACGGTAAACCAAGAACCAACGTTTTACGTACGTACAGTACGTACGTACGTATCGGTATATAAACTAATTCTTTAAAAGGTAAGGATCTGCAAACTATGCATTTTTCATGAATAATAATGTATAATAGAAGCTTTCTTAAAGAAAAGTTATATTACGAATTTCCTTGTAATATGAATTAAGAAGGCATTGTGAAAGACAGATGAATTAAGAAAAGTATATTAAGAAAACGCATTAAGGAAAAATGTATTAATAAGACAAAAGCAAGAAAGCGCATTAAGGAAAAATATATTAATTAGACAAAAGCATGCAATATTACTCAATCAACACGAGCATTCTTGTAAATTAAATGCATGATGACATTTGCAGAGGTCGCAATCTACTGAAAAACACAATAGTTTGTCATCATTAATAATCAAAATTTTTCTTTTTTAGTAATCGATATACCTATCGATTCGACCGTAATTTCGAACGTTAACTTTGTCCCAACTTTGTCCTACACGGAAAAAATTTTGGGCAACAATTGTACTAGTTCATGATCATCGTATTTTCGATCATTCATAATCTAATCCAATTTGGGTTTATGGTTCAAGAAGTAAGAGAATGTTATGATTTTGAATGATTTTCTTAGATCTCTTGCAGTATTGGCGACCCCTTTAATCAAATGTATTAATAATCAATTGTTATGCAGAATTGGTTATGAAGTGGGGTAACCTATACTGCAAGAAATCAATTTTCATTTACAAATTTGATTTAGTCAAAATTTCATACCTGTTTCAACGCATTGATCTTTAACTAAGTGATCAGCTATACTTGGAAATTGTCAGTACGTAGATACATTATGCATAAAAAAGTGATTAACAAATTAAAAAAAAAAAAAAGGCCATATTTAGTTTATTGCTTAATTTTACAAGAACGATGAAAAAAATACTAAATCTTAATTATTTATTTAAAAATATTTCATAGCATAACATGACTCGCCTGATGACGAATGTATCCAATCTTCTCACGTAAAATAGGTAGATATTGATTAAAGTCGTTTGTCTATCTCTTTTCCTCCAAACTATGAAGTCTCTAGAAAAAGTACCTTTATTATGATGTCATGCGATTGACGAAATTAATCATTAATTAGCTAATCAATTGTTAATTAGCTAGTTGACTCAAATTACAACACAATTTGTAAAATTTTCTTATAGATTTTCTTTCTGAATATAAACCATCATTTTATATATTTATATAAGATAAAAATAAAAAACATGAATTCTATAAATATTATATATCCGAATATTTAATAATCCGGCTGTACAAACTATTCTTATTCATAAATTGTAATAAATACATATGTTATAACTTATGCAACTTATCTATAGGAATATTACATGAATTAAGTTTTGGAAATTTGAGAAACATTTTTAATTCTGATAAAATGTAAGAGACCTTGTATCAAAAGGCAAGGGGTCAAAATATTGCGGAACAATGTTTTGATTAATAAATGCTTCGTTTTGATTTTGATTGCAATGCGTAGATTGCACGAAACGTTCAGAGAATTTAATCAAAGAATCAGTATCCATTCTTGAAAATTCAGTATCATTAATGTCGTTTATGCTTAATTGTCTTTTTTCAAGATCTTTGACATTTTTTTCAAGATTGTTTATTAAATGTTCAAGTTTATTTATCCTCTCTGAAAGAACATTAACATATTCGTCACTTATATCACAATTTCGACAACTGTTCTTCTTTTTATTCTTGACAACTTCCGGAACACGACGAACAATCATAAAGTGACATTGCCCAGTAGTGTCAGTTTTCTCTGGTATGATGAATGCCTTTCGCCCACGTCTTGATTTCTTAGCTATAGTCGCCATTTGAACTTCGCGGAATTTGAAGCGATTTAAGAGGAAGT